TAGTAAATGTGATGCATGCAAAACACAAGAGACAAGTGGCCACTGCTTGTTTAGTGGAATTTTTTAAAAAAATATTTTTTATTGCACCTATGAAGGTCATATGTTTTAGTTGAAAATATTTAAGGTAAACATAAATATAACGTAGGTTTTTGTGCCTTATGACATTAGCTGGTATGTAAGGAACCAGCTAGTTGTTCATAACATTGCTCTGAAAGTTTGTGATACTTATCATTAGGTAAAGGTCTTGAAAGGTGGTGTACTCTTTCAGGAGCTGTGGCCTCACTAATGTGAGAATTGTGCTGCAAAGCTGAAATGGAGGTGTCCTGCTTTCGTATTATTCAACAACTAGCTGGCTTAGGGTCCTATCATGTCTTGGTTAATTGTTAATCATCTTATAGTGAGTTATGTTCATTTGCAGCTACCACTGAAGTTATTGAGAGTTTGCCTAAGTAGGAAGCGATGAACTAGACTTAAGCTGGCAAATGACTAATGGTAGTAGTACAGTTAAGGAAATAACCTTGGAACTTAAGACCGTCCTTGTTTTATACTAATGGATGAGTGATTCTGAAGGGTGGTGTACCAGCCTGGAAGTTTCTGAAGTTCTTTCTTGCCAGCGAAGCTCTTCAGTTCCTAGAAACAGCTGCCTAACTGGTGCAGGCTTAGGGCCAAGTGAAATGTGTCCAGATGTGGTGGAAGTGGTGTACTTGTTAACATGATTGCTTTTCTCCAATTCCATCCTTCTTATTTGTGCTGAGCAGCAGAGGCTTGAGGCTTTACAGACCCCCTTAGCCATTTTTCTGCTGTGAAATGGAAAAAATGGAGGGCTTGGCTGCTGCTTCCTGTCAGCAAAATGGACTGAATTCTGTCCTCTCACCTTCCTGCTCTGTACCACGTAGTGCAATTATGCAACCTGTGTACTAGGACTAGAACTTCCTTAACGTTGTGGTGTATCTCTGCTGAAGAATTAACATAAAAAACTTAGGTGTTTTTCTTGCTTGGTGTTCTTGTGGCTTTTTTGCCGTGTGTTCTACAGATTATTTTTTTTTTGTGTGTGTGTGTGTGTTTCAACTATTGGGAACAGTTGGGAAGAGGAGCATCACGATTTCCGTCTCTCCTTCCCTCTTTTTATGTAACTTGTCAGCTCTTCACAGAGACAAGGTTGAGAACATGAACTTTAAAGGCTTTAGGAAATAGAACACAAATAATTAATGCACACTTAGTTCTATTTTAATCGTATTTTTAAGTCAGGCTAATGATATTTAGAGATGTGGCTTGAGATTTTGTTGTTTTGATTACTTCAGTTGGCAAATATGTATAAAATGTGCTGAAAACAGTTAAATACTTAAAACTAAAATTTTAACCATTTTCTTCATGCTTTGGGATAGGTTAAAATTATTAGATGTAAGGGAGGAGAGCAGACAATGGAATAGGTCTAGTACCTGCTGCTTCTTGCATGCAATTCTCTGACCAGAGCTGCACTGGCTTCAAGGTCTTTGAATTTGCTGAGGGAAGGAGGGAAGAAGAGAGGAGGGGAGGTATGGATGAACTTAGCCTTCTGGCTGGGTGGCGCTATACAAGATTTTTTGATTTTTTTTTTTTTTTTTTTTTTTTTTTTTTTTTTTTCCAGGAGGTCTTGACAATATTTTAGTCATTAAAATACCAAGCAACTTTCACCTTTATTTTGAGAAGATACTGCAGTCACTTGAAATATCTAATTCCTGTTACAAGACTTTTAGCTAGGGAAATCTTCCTTATTGGGAAGATACCCTAATGCAACACCTTTGGAAGGATCTATCTCTCTTTCTACAAAAGTCAGATGAGTCATCTCAGTCAGACAGTGGGTTTTGAAAGAAGGGTAGATAAAACAGAAAATAAGTGTTATATTTCAAAATATGCTGAAAAATTACACGGAATATATAGGGAGAAATGTATTGTTGTGTGCTTCATAAAAGACAAATGAGATTCAGGATGGCAATTCAGAGTCTTCTTAAGAAGTCAGCATGAGTCAATTTGTTCTCTGCCTTTTTTACTTTTTTTTTAATACAGATGCTTTTTTTCTTCATAACATTATAGTAAACAACTACAATTCTATAGCTGTATGTTTTCAGATGCAGAGGAAGAACAGAAACATAACAGCATAGCAGGCAAAAAGGTCTTGTTTAAAAAGTAACTGTGAGAAGACAGTATTTCTGGCTTTACTTCTGATTTTGTTGGAGAATAAGGTAGTAGCATACTGTGGCTGTTCACCACATGCACTCTGGGCTCAGATCTTTATATCTGAGTATGCCCAAATGTGAAATATGCCTGAGCTTTAAGACATTAAATCAATTCTGTGTTTAACAGAATCACAAATCTTCTCTGTTATGCAGCCTTTTTCATAGACTTAAAGGAAGTGGTACATAAGTGAAAAAAAATGGATCCTGTCATGTCCAGCAAATCAGTTTTGACACATATTTCAAAAAGTAAATACCAGTTAGCATTGCTTATGCTGCAGTGCCACCCAGGTCATTTCTGGTAGTCCAGAAACACCAACCACAGACAAAAATGTAAAAAGATCAAATGCTTCATCCCAGGAGAGACCTGCCCTTGGTAATGAGTATTACAATCTCTTCACTTGGTCTGTGATGGAACTGCTCATTTGTGTTAACTGAAATGTTCAGAGCATGGACTAGCTTTATGATATTGGTAGCTGTGATAAAGTGATTAAGATTTTATGTTTTGCTGAATTTATTACAACTGATGCAGATAGCTGGAAGGCCAGACATATTCTTATAACCTGAACGGAATTAGTTATGCCCAATGAAAACCGTTAGGGCTGACATTGCTGCATATGCGGAAATCCATGATGTCACCAGGCATATTTTGTGCCGTGGTAATATAGCTGAGCTCATTGTTGAAGAATCACACGAAAAAATAAAAGAGACAGCATTCAGAAGAATGTTGCTTAGGTTGTGGATTTGAGCCTGCAGCAAACAGGACGTGCAGCTTTTGAAGCTGCCCATACAGGTTCCACTGTGTTCACTTAAATGCATAGTCTTTGTGTGCGCCAAAGGTGTGTGTGCTGTTTTTCCCTTGGTTCTGTTCTTTTGCAGATTGATGGGGTTTGCTTAAAAAGGGCTGTTTAAGATTTTGTTTTGCCCTCAGCATTCATTATGTGGACGCAGATCTTTCCTAATGCACATTACCCAGCTTTTGTACTGAGGGTAGAAGGATTAATGTCCTCTTCAGTTTTTCTGTCTGGCCTCTTACTCTTGTGTCTGAGTTTTTTGCCGAAATGAATAAATTAATTTTCACAATGCTCCTGTAAAACGGAAGCCAACTGTTCTTTTCTTATATATGAGGAACAGAGGCACATAGGTCTTAAGGACCAAATTTGAAATTTATAAGGCCTGTTTGTCTCTATGAGGCATATATATATAGTGTTACATGTATTCAGAGCACACCCTCCATTAACTCATATGTTGTTTATCAGCTGCACTGGTGTCTCTGTGCCCATCAAATCAGCTCAAGTGATCTCTATCCCTTGAGCTAATGGATTAACTGATAGCAGCTGGAGGCTGCCTTTCTCAATATTGAGCTGGACTAGAAAGGAAAGGGAGATTGCTGATGGGTTTCACATTTATTTGCAGATGGTAGTGAAGGAAGGTTTTGGTATCTTGAGTACCTTTTCAGGCCTTTGGCCTCTGCTCTGGTAGCCATAAATGCTTCTGTGCTTCCCCCAGCTGTGACCACTTTAGCCTCATCCCATCTATTCTGTTTCAGACCTCGCCACGTAGTTGTTTCCTGTTGTTTACTCCAGCTAGGTAGTGTCTGCTCCTCAGCCTCCTGTCCTAGGTCCACTTCCCTGAACCTCCTCTCCCCCCTGTAGTTTTCTTACCAAGCTATGTCCAGCTCAGCATCTGATCTGTCTCTTCTCTTGGTCCATTCCTGTTTGTTCCCTGCTGCTGTCAGCCAGTATCTTCACTAGTTCATAATTCTGGTCTCTGTGTTTTCTGAATTAGCTTGCTTACCCTTTTTTTTCTCCTGTTCCCCTTCTCTTTTCTCCCTCTTTCTGCTTCTGCAACCAGTTTTTGAGGGGAGTTCACAGCCTCCCCAGTTCTCAGTTCCTTTTCCTAAACAATCTCACTTTCTTACACCCAGGTTTCCTCTTTCCAGTGCAGCCTGCCATCACAATTTTCATTTTCATTCAGTAGCTCTTTGACAAGAATGCATGAGGACTTCTAAAAAAATATATATAGTCATGTAATTACATTAGATAGCTTCTTCCCTCCACCTCCTAGAATGGTAGATGTGTAATAGAAATAGGTCCCACATAGCCCACAGCATTGCAGAAGTCCAGCTGGAGTGAGAGCTAATCCCAGTCTATATTGGACCGTGCCTGGTGTCTAGAATCTGTGAGCAGTTTAGTCACTAGCATCCAGAAAATCTGTTGAATGTGTATGAACTGTTGTTTTTCAAAGACTTACAATTTGACCACATTGACTCGTGAGTAGAATCGTCTGGATTTGATGAACATTTCTAGTAGTAACACTAGAAGGCGTGAGATTAGGCGTCACTGTGTATTGCTTGGCCAGGTATCAGGAAGAAAACTTTCACCCCTCGTTTATGTGAAGCAAATATGGTAAGTATAAATATTGCCTTCCTTAAACCATCAGCTTGAATGCCTATGGTGGATAGTATTAATTACTACTGAAAGTAGTATAGTAGATGTGTTTTCATTTTATATATATACTGAAGTGAGTTGGGAGGAATTTCTGAAGTAAAAAAAAAAAATCTTGACTATGCTAACAAAACAGAAATGGTCTGTGGCGTTGAACCTGTAAGCACCTTCAGATGGCAGACAAGCACACATGAAGGCAGAAAGATCACAATAAAGAATGCTTCTTGTCAATAGACGGGCAAATGACAAGGGACAAAATAAGTCATTATTTTTGTAGCCACAGGAGAAGTGGAAGCTGCCAACAGAGTGAAATTCTGTTACCTTTCTGTTTTCTCATTAGGTACATTGAAGAAAGTCCGTCTCTGAGACGTATGACTATGATGAGGGAAAAGGGAAGGCGACAGGCCATTAGAGGCCCAGCATTCATGTTCAACAACAGGGGCACCAGTCTTACGGCTGAAGAAGAGCGCTTTCTAGATGCAGCGGAGTATGGGAACATACCTGTGGTGCGCAAAATGCTGGAGGAGTCAAAAACACTGAATGTCAACTGTGTTGACTACATGGGCCAAAACGCCTTGCAGCTTGCTGTAGGGAATGAACATTTGGAAGTGACAGAACTTCTATTAAAAAAAGAGAACTTGGCACGGATTGGGGATGCCCTGCTGCTCGCAATCAGCAAGGGCTACATTAGGATAGTGGAAGCAATTTTGAATCATCCTGGGTTTTCAGTAAATAAGCGACTGACTCTGAGCCCTTGTGAGCAGGAGCTCCAGGATGATGATTTTTATTCCTATGACGAAGACGGTACCCGCTTTTCTCCAGATATCACTCCCATAATTTTAGCTGCCCACTGCCAAAAATACGAGGTCGTGCACATGCTGTTGATGAAAGGAGCAAGGATAGAAAGACCTCATGATTATTTCTGCAAATGTAATGACTGTACTGAGAAGCAAAAGCATGATTCTTTCAGTCACTCTAGGTCAAGAATAAATGCATACAAAGGACTGGCTAGTCCGGCTTATCTGTCGCTCTCCAGTGAAGATCCAGTACTCACTGCTCTAGAACTCAGCAATGAACTTGCCAAGTTGGCCAACATTGAAAAAGAATTCAAGGTAATGGTGTTTTGGTCTTTCTGTCTGTCTTTGTTGTTGTTTTAAAGTTGCTGCTATGTCATGATGTCCTTAGATGCTTGAAATTATTTCCTGTGTGTTTACTTTTTCAATTGCAAATATTTTCATGTATTTATTGCCTCTTTGTTCTTGATTTTGAGTTTTCAATATATAAGCCTTTAAAAAAGAATTTTTAATGAAATGAAATTGCTTTTGCACCTACTGCATAGGGAGATAATTGGAAAAAGGGACAGTGCATATTCTGATAACCTTGCAGCAGATGGAAAACAGTTTTGGTTGCTGTAGCAGAGAGAGAACGGTTTTAGTTACAAACACTCAGTAGCCTAAATGCAGAAAGCAGAAACATTACACTTTTCTTGAGCATACTGCGGCATTGACCTTATTCCCTCTTTTTTTATTTGTACTGATTTTGAATGATGTCTCCAAATTGTTAAGAGCACAGAAAGTGGTTTTTTTGATGCATCTTTTAGAAATGTCACTTGTTCAAAACCAGCTGTTAGACTGGTTACAGATGTAGGTTCTGTTATCTGTTTTTGACCTGTATCTGGTTTAGTATGTCAATACCCTGACTCTTCTATGTATTTCAGCTTCTCCATCAGACAATTAATGACTTAGTTAACTGTTGCCCAGTGCTATTTTTTAATGATTTTGCCATTCTGTTGAATACCGTAAAAAGTACAGTAACACCCAGCTTCCCCCTTGCCCTCCCTGCCCAGCTAAACCCCACAAAAAATCAAACCCCAGTAGACTGTGTGTAATAAGAAAAGCTTGGCTCGGGGAATGACTGGTTGTTCTCAATGAGTAGTGATATTAACAGCATTGAATCTAGTTTTAGCAAAAAATGTAATGGGGTTCTGCAGGGTCAGTGTTGGGTATCACTTGTTTGTTTAATATCTTCATAAATGATCTGAGAGAGGCAAAAGATGCATTAACCTTTTCAAACAACAGTAAGCATTGCTAACACTGTGGAGTACTCAGAAGAAATGTACAACTACCTGGAGAAATATAGGTAGAAATTAATGAAGTGAACTTTACCAGAAGAGGAAGAAACAGTTTTAGACTCCTGAGAAAGAATAGCTCCAGATATAGCTGAGTGAGTTAAAAATATAATTTAAAAATTAGATTTTGGTGCTGAGAAGGATTCATGTATTATAGCAATCACTAATAAAGTGTAAAAGTCAGCTTAAACCTTTCTTTTCCTTCCTTTGCTGAAGGAACCCCTTCATACCGTGCTGCATATTGTGTAATTCGGCAAATGGATTGAGTGCTTCCTCAATGTATGTATTCAGGAGTATAGGAAAAATGTCAGATTTTTTTTTTCCTCTGCTGAAAAAGTACTGAACTGGGAAAGCTCTTTGAGAACATAAAATTGAAGAATTAGAGAATTTTATCATATGCACAGAGCCTGTTGGCTTGTGTGCTTCACACAATGAATTGTGGTTATGCGCCTCATTTAGAGAACGTTGTAGAAGGTTAAACCTCTGATGTGTATAACCCACTCCTGTTTATCGTTGATTCTTTTTCAACTAGGCCAACAACCTGAGAGCCACAGGGTCTCCAGAATCATCTGCCCAAGTTGGAGATTTATGGGGTTTTTGAATAACATTTCAGTGGTTGTAGATACAAACCTTTTTTTTTTTCTTTGTCCACCTCAGAAACTGTACCATCCATCTTTTTCTTTATGATAGTGCATACAAATTTTGTTCAGAAACACTGGTGGGCTTAGGGACTCAATTTAAGTGTTACGCAACTCCCTAGGAACCCAAAATGCAATCTCTGCCACCAAAAGCTAAATTAAGGCAAGCTATATCATGTTTTTTTATAAGGGAAGGATGTAGATGATTAGAACTGAACAGAAAAAAATTCAGGAAAAATATATATTCATGGGAAGCTCCCATATCATAGGTATTAATATCCTGAATACACATTTCATCAGAAAATAAATAGCTTGAAAGTTTGGAGGAGAAAAAATGATAGGTTTTGGCTGGACTTTTCATTTTAAACCAGAACTTAAAAAATTAGTTTTTAAAATATTAAATTGTCACAGAACAAAATATTCTGGTTCTCAATTTTTTCTTTTTTTTTTCTTAACTGTTTCGCCTTATTGATATTTTGGGGTGCATAAGAACCCAAGAAACCCACTATTTTCACAGATTTTGCTATTTTTGGATAGCACTTACATGGCTGTTAACCTTGCCAGGTGTATAAGGTAATGCAGTTTTGGCACCTACAGTAGAAATTGTTCCTGGCTCCTTGCTAGCATGGAAATTCCAGTTTCTCATCAAAAGCAAAACATTCCAGTGAAATAATTATTCTCGTCATTAACCTCGTATCTATCTCTTTTCCTTCTTCTGCATCTCAGGGCATTCTTTCTGTTTCTACCAAGCGTGGTAGGAAAGTTGCTTGTTTTCCTCTGGCACTGATGACTGTCTGCCCTTCCTGGGGAGAAGATGTAGTGAAAAAGGGAGGGAGGGAGGAAGGAGGAAAAAGAGGAGGCAAGGAATTTTTTAGCATCACCATTAAACCAAGTCCAGGAAGGGCTGAAAATGCGCAGCTGATGAGAAGACTCTGTGTTCCGCTGGGGCTGTGGGCAGGTATGATGGGGCTGCTCGTGGCGCGGATGTAATGCGAGATGCCGCACTGAGAACTGTAGAGGTAGATCGAGGAGAAAGCAAGCAGTGCTTCTGTGTCTTACAGAAGCCTGTTGTGAGAGTTTGCCACATTTGGTGTACATCCAGTTAGTAACTGTCTGTTCAGTGCTTTCTTTTCTATAGGTATGTCATCTGAATGTATTTTGCCAATAACTGTGTGCTTTGTCATATCCCAGAGGACAAGGCTTCTGGGTCTGACGTTGGCACTCCCTATGAGGCAGAATGACTGATAGGCTTCTGCTGCAGTCTCCTTTAGGATCATCACTGGAAATGCTTAAGTATGCCTATCCAATTCAACCTATAGCACAACACTGGGCAGACTTGTTTCAGGGTAAAGACAAATGGACAAAATAGTTCATCTCCCACAGAAAATGGGCGTCTGTTTAAAGGGACTTTTGATGATATTAATGATTTTTTCTTAGCATCTATGCCATGTTAAGGCCTGTAGCATTTCCTGTGCATGCTCACAGCAATGCGTTTCCTGGATGTGAAGGACTCCTACAGAAAATAGTTTTCTAGGTGGTTTTCCCACAGAGAAAGAAGTAGGGTGAACCTGTTTAAAAATGCCTGAGGGCAAAGCTTCCTAGTAAATGCTTGCTAAATTGAACCTTACTTCTTTTGCATATGCAAAGTCTAGTCTGCCTCTACCACTTATGATTCACACTAACCAATTCTGATGTTCACGTGCAAATCAGAGTTTGCACAAGCGTATTAGAAATAAGGGAAGGTGGCTTAGGACATTCATTCGTGACAGTCAGTTCCCCATGAACATTAAAAAAACCCCTTTATTTATTACACTGATTTTTATTTTTTTAATTTTCCCTTCAGAAGTAAGGAGAAAGGATTCAAAGAAACCAGGGAACCCTAATTTTTCCTGGAAGATACGAGACACGTAGCCAAAAATAAGTACTGAAAATTAGTAGAATCAGATGGGGAAACTGGAGCCCTAAAGACCATTTCGCTCTACTTCTTTCATACTCAAGCTTCCTTACTTCCTACTCCTTTGTGAAATCCATGTTTCAAGCTCCTGTTGCTCCTTTGCTCTTCTTCATCGATTTTACTCTAGTTTCTTCTTGACATTGTTACCCCTTTTTTTTCTTTGTATCCACTTGTCTTCTTCCCCTGTTTTCTCCTATTCAGTTCCCTCTTTGGGTTTCCTTTTTTCTTGTCTCCCTTCTAAGTGCTTGCCTAATTTTCTTTACTTCTTTTTTTGCTCGCTATCTTCGTCCCTTAAGGTTCTTTATTGCATTTTCTAATCCTGGTAAAGCATGGCTGGCTTGTCTGAACATGCTGGTGACTCCTCTTTAGGTCTTGAAATAAACTAAGGGACCAGCAGAGATTATCAGTGCCTGGCTGTCAAAGCAGCAAGACATCATTTTGGTGGCCAGTATAGCAGCATATCATCACTGTGGACAGGACAGGAACTACAGTATTTCTCTTACCTTCCTTGGTGATCCTAGTCTCTGTTCCAGGGATTGACAGCAGGATTTCAGATGAAGTCAGAAATTTCAGTTTGTTTTATCTGGTAGCAAGACTGCTACCAAATCGTAAAAAAAAAAAAAACAAAAAAAAAACCCAAAAAAACCCCAAAACCAAAAAACCCAACCCCCTTCACTCTTCCATACCTACTGCTGTCACACCAAATTTCAGTCTCTTAAAGCAGCCGATTAGATTCTCTCCTGTCAGGTTTTTAGGGGTGTTTTATATGTAGTGGAGATAATTAGAAAGAAAGCATTGTTGATGAAGTTCAGTGTCTGAGATGCAAAACCAGAATTCTGCTTCACTCTGGTAGTCTTCATCAATTTGGATGTTTACAAAGGCTTTTATAACCAACATGCCTGCTCAGTGTTTTCAAAGTGTATCAAATCTGCTGCTTTGATTCCTTTCTTTTGTTGATAAGGACAAAACCTGTTAAGTCAGAAAAAGTAATGGAGTGGCATTCTGCTGGCATCTGTCTTTGAGTGGTTAGAGATCTCTGAGGTGTACTGCTTTGTACCTGATAGACTGGCTAGGGAAGCACAGTCTGGAACTGTACCTTGTCTTAATGTAAAAAAGTGTTCTTTTACCATAGCTGGAGAATAATGTTTTCCAATCTCAGTAGCATCACAAGTACTTTGCAATACAAATATTCCCAATTTTTATGTTTCCTTGTTCTTCTGTTTTTAGCAGACCCTGGCCATTGCGGTTGCTGCGGGTTATTAAAGTTAATTGATATTTACCCTCCTCCCTGAGAACTTTAAAACTGTTACTGCACAGCGATGGGAGAATTTCTAGCAGTCAGAACAGCTGATGGAACTTTCCTTTGGAGTCACCGTAGAAAAAAAGCAGGAC